TATACAATTTATTATTATTAATTATTTTTTGTTTCAACCTGTCCTTCACGATAATACAATTTTATTACATGGAAATTACTCTTCTAGTAAAATTGTATCTAAGCCAGTCACTCAGGCAGTTTGAAGTGATTGCAGGAATGTTAAAATCACATAAGTCGCAATGTTTAAAACCAGTTTTCAACGCATGCGCAAACGTAATTTCTTGGCTGGAAAAAACAGAGTGTTCGATATACCGCCCCGTGCCCGTTACGTAACGTGATTCAGAAACTTTTCATTAGGAAAAGACATATTTACGAGATTCTTCGGTAAGGTCACTTATTCTATTTGAATCAAAACGTTGTTCAGAAAAAGAAGCGAGACAAGACGATAACTAAGGGATGTCGGCATCTTACCTGCGCCAGACATCGGCCCAAGGAAGAGATTAAATCCTCAACTCCAGAAGCCTTATACAAGATTGTTTGTTAACAGATATTAAGGTAAGTTTTCAAGAGTATTTTCATGTGAATCGAGATGCTTTCTTGAACGAGATCAAAACGCCGCGTACGTGGTACCGTCTCATTGTAGTCTCTACACAGGGTCTGTGTTTGGGGCGTGTCTTCAATCTTTTATTGCTTATCACAATGTTGCGCTCAAAAGCTTCAACCTTAAGTTATAATTAATTATATTATAATTATAAGAATTAATAAGTGCTGAATCATCTGCAAAATAATCTTCAATAATATGCGTATTTATTATTATATTGTATATTATTTATGGACCGTACATATGATGCTATACAATATTATTGTTGAAATAATTACATAATTCGAACATAAATATTTAAATCAATTTTGCCAAATAAAGGGTGGTAAATTAAAACTTTAGGCTTTGTGTGTGTGTGTGGGGGGGGGGGAGGCACGGCCCCAATTCCCCAAGGACCCGCCAATGCCCATGTGTAGTACATTGAGCCCATCTGCCAGAAGAAAAAAAAAACATGTGGCGAGTCGACAGTTCCTAGAAACGTGACGTCACAGCGCCGCCTGCCGGCCCTGCGCTTCGTCACTCAGCGTGGACTAGAGCGTTGCATTCAACGCGTGAGATCGCGTGACTCAGCCGCGTGGTTTGCAGGTGGCTCAGCGTGTACGCCAGGCGTTTTCAATTGGAATCTGGTCAGAAAATGGGGGACACCGTATGGAATCAAGAACGTATTAAATAGAACGCATATGTTTTAAAATGACCATGTCTTTCGGAATTTTTGTAAGTGAACTGCGCACCCATGTGATGTCGGATCATTGACAGACCATTTTTACTTTCACAATATCGATAATGTTTTATAATGCTTCAGCGAAATGGCTGAATTGTCAGAAATAAAACTCGAATTGTGGAGCACTGATGTAGAAAAGGTGGATGAATCTTGTTCGTGTAAGTAGTAAATTATTTCCTCTAATAACCCTTGCGGAACCGAACGTTTTGTAGGTGTTTGATACTCGAAAACTGGTTGACAAAACGTTCGTCCGTCCGACCGTCTGTGGTCAACGATAACGCCTAAACCGATTTTCACCGAAATTAATTTTCTCCGATCAACCTGATTGACCGGAAGTTCCTGAGCGTTTGAAACGGATAATTTGATTTTTACATGAAGGATACTTTATGTGTCTCAACCATTTTCAAATTTTCTAACAAAAATTTTTGGTTAAACTTTTCTTTCAGACAGGGTAAACGAAATTTAAAAATTACGCAGGTATGCTTTTTGTTGCCCTGCTTTTTGTTGTCTGAATTTTCGAAAATTGCAAAATTTCAAACTTTCGACGTCTTTCTTCAACTACAGTATTAAATATAAATATATTTTCTTTTATGAAATCCGTTTTCCAAAGACACATCTATAAATAAGATAATGAACAATTTTTGAATAACAGAGTTTCTTTCGCGTAATTTACAGGCAATTTACGAAAACTATGTTCTCAGAATTGACTAATTTTTTTTCAAAATTAGAAAAGTTCGCTTTTAAAAATGTCGCAGATTCCATTTTCGGTGAAAACTCTGTATTCCCGATTGTTGCAAAAATTGCCATTGCGAAACTGCAATATTCACGATTGCTTCCTTAGTGAAATCTGTTCTCAAGTAAGAATGCTACATCAGAAAACATTATCGTATTATTTGTAAACGTCACGCATTATTATAATACTACGACTAGTAGTGCACAAACCTGCAAAAGTACTCCAGAAAACAAACATTCTCCGTTCTAGGATGAGAACTCAAGTTCTTAGATTTGAGAAGCCACGTCTGTTATCCCTACACCACCAACAAGGTGGAGGCCGGCATCTGAGTTCGCCATTCAGCTGGGGAAGAATATCGTCACATCACCATAAAACATACACTACGCTTACTGGAATAATCAGCCATGACCTATTATTTTGTGAAATAGACAAACAAGTAACGTTGAGAGTTCTGATTTTCTTTGCTATTCTTGTTTATTTTATTTGTCTAAATCTCTTTTACATTTATCTCTTATTTACTTTTAATTATTCTCTTTTGTCTTCGTTTGTCGCATTACAGGAATACGCTTTGGTTACATGGTTACCGGAACTGGTCTCGTATATATTCTGTCACGTTATAAAGTGGAGCCCACCAGTGAAACACCAATATCTTGAAAATTCAACAACTGGGCTGTAATACTTCAGTACGTGGGAGGAATACCTCTCCATTTTAAATCTGTGTCTTGAATTTACTAATGTACTACTGTGGACCTTGAAAATCACAAAACATTTGACAAAACATTTTTTTTGGTCAATCTTAAAATTATAGATATTAAAACCTTTCAGTAAAATGTAATATACAAAATATAATAGTAACACTGTGTTACAAAAAATTACAACCATGAACAGGAAACATTTGCCTATCACAACATCTACTTTAAATGTACTCTTCCCCCCGCTTCTGCTGGAGTTGCTCTTCAATTATTTAATGAAAATAATTCATCCCAAAGACATGTTACTTTCAAATGATAAATACATTAATAATACTAAGTGTTGCTGTGAAATGCCCATGATAATGTACAACAGTACATAAAACCGATTTATGAAAAATGATATAATTCTGAAAGGTGTAACTCATACGAACTGTATGTTATGTGTTTATTTTGTAAGTCATTCTGCTTTTTAATATTTCTTTCTGGGGTTTTGACATACAAAATAATTGTTCAATTTTTAACACAATAAAAAGCCCAAATCCATCTTTTTCTATTAAAGGGGAAAAATTACTCGTACCAGAAATATATTAACAAATATATTCAGTTATAATTAAGTAAGTAATAATTGCATGCTTCTGATAATATTATCTATTACTACATTTTACTACTTAGAACTGATTTATAAATTTCTTTGTAAGAAATGTAATTTTTTGTAGCTCATTCTCTAATATCAGTGGATGATTGTCAATAATGTAACTGTACACGGGACCCACGTCCAATTAAGTGTCAAAAATAAATATTTTTGTTTAAGAAAATAATGTTTTTGTAAGTAAGTCGGTAGAAGAAGCAATAAGTGACAACGTGAACGCGGAACCGAATTTTATATTCTCGTTGAATAACAGGGGAACTTTCGAACTAGGAAACAAGTGTTAGGAAAATAAACAATTTTAAGAATCATCTGGAAGCAATTCAAAAAGTGGGTACAAAAATTTAGAAGAACTTAATAGGGCAGAGGAATACATGGAAAGACAATTGAATATAGGCAACTGATGTAAGTAGATTTCGAAATAAGTTGGAATTTCAGGAAAGCAGCCAAACCAATGCAGGCGAACCAGTGATTTACATGCATGTAAATCACGTCGAATTAATTTTAAAATATTTTGTTATAACAGTACTTAGACTGTATAATTCAGTGTTACATGAATAAATTACATTGTTTTTTTTATATCCTTTTGCCTTTGTAAACAATTCGAGGTATAAGGCACTTCAAGTTCTTGCTTGGATGTTTATCACTAAGATTCCACATGTATGGCAAGGCCTATTAAAATTGGTCTTTTTCGGAATGAAAATGACATCATCAAAGTAAATATGGAATGCTAGAGATATATTTGTATTATTCAAAATAAAAATATTTTTGAAAGACAACGAAAAAAAATATTGAACTTAACAGTGTATAAAAGCGTATAATTGCACACGTGGGAAATGAATTGAATTCAAGGTTTATTATACGTGGCGAGACTCCGGCCATCGGGCCCGCTCTTCCGCCTGACCACGCTATTTCACTACGCTCGTTTCACCAACTAGCAGAGGAAGGAGGCATTTGGCCGACCAAGAGGCGATATTGAATTTAGCGAAGAGGCGTCATTTAGGCTTGAGTATCTTTCATATGCAAGTAAATCTACTAAGATGAGACAGACGGCTTTAATTCCCGGCGTACGAAGGATTTTTTCGTCATTCAAAAATCGACGGGTTCGATCGGGTTTGAACCCGCCAACGTCGATACAACAGTCCCGTACACTAACCGTTACACCATTGCCGCTCTTTGATTACATCGTCGCTCGTTTCTTTAATTATACCACATCGTGCAATTATACACCTATTTATACACTCGTTTCGTTAACTACTATAATAAGACCAATGATTACTGTGTAAAGCCCATGATAATGTACAACAGTTAAGCAAACTGATATAAGAAAGATGATCTAATTCTGAAAGGAATAATTCATACGAACTGCATGATATGTATTTATTTTGTAAGTCATTCTGCTTTTTAATTTTTCACATACAAAAGAATTATTAAATTATTAACTTAATAAAAACCCAAAATTCATATTTTTCTATTAATAAAAAAATACATAATACAGAAATATATTCAGTGTTAATTGAATAAGTAACATGTAAATTATGTTTGCTTGTACTACTAGCAGAATCTTCCCTTTCCGCCACCGCAGCTACGACACGATTTTCTTGTACCACTATCGCTCCCTTGTCTCATGTTTTGTCCCACCTACATTCCGCGTCGCCCACATATATAGAAATTGAATAATCGTGACAGGATTTCCGTCCGGCCTAGACTGACGCACGAAACGCATCGGCAGGTTGAGAGAGAGACAAGGTCGCGTCGCTCGGAAGAGACCGGAAGGAGGGAGGCAGGCGTTGCCGCTTCGGTAGCGCACGGCGGCCAGAACCCGACGCATGCGCACTGCGCGCCGAGAGATCAGCAAGTCAGCGCCGCGCCGTGCCGCCCCGCGCAGCCCAGCGCATTGTAGTGTTCCGGTCATTCGCTGTGGACAGGAGTAGCGGACATCACCAAGCGTGTGGAGCAGCCTGCGCCTGCTGATTAGGATCCTACGTGCCTACGGCAGGTAAAGTTTAACCGCGCCGTGCGGCTCCGCGCCGCCATACACCACGCCGCCACCGCGCCGCCTGCAACGGCGCCGGCCGGCCACCTCGCCGCCACCGCGCCGCCAGCAACCGCGCCGGCCGGCACCGAGCCGGCCCGGCCCCGCGCCTGAGCACAGGTTTCAATAGTGACCTTCCCACGTGCCGCGGGTTTGCGCCGCTGCGTCGTTCGCCGCCGGACTTTCTCTACGTGATGCGCAGGAGGGCATTCGCGTTACCCCTAGCAGAACACAGCTTTAAGGGCCCCTTCCCACGGCGCGGCCGCAGCGCGGCGCGCAGCAGCGCGGCGCGTAGCAGAGCATTGGTTTGAATGGAGGCCTTCCCCCGTGCAGCGGGTGGCGGCTGCTGCGGCAGCCGACGCCGAACTCCAGCTACGCGAAGCCGAGGAGGGGCCACGCGCCACGGCTAGCATTATACAGCTTTAAATGGGAGCGTTCCCACTGTGCCGCGGCCGCAGCGTTCTACCTGCTCCGGTCCCTTTGCTCGTCGTCGCCGGAGGGTCGGCGAAACCTACCCCTCCAGACCCCACCCCCTTCCACGGCGGGCGGCGGTGCGGCCGTGGCTCCGGCGGTGGCTGCGTCGGAAGAGCTCTGCTCCTTGAAGGCAGCGCGCCGCGGCTGCGCCGTGGGAAGGATGGCATTCCCCCTGTGCCGCCGGTCGTGGCGTTTTACCTTCTGCGGTCCCTTTGTTCGTCGTCGCCTGATGATGGGCGAAACCTACCCCTGCTGAACCCATCCCCTTCCACGGTGGGCGGGGGTGCGGCCGTTACGTGCAGCGTTAGGGGGCTTCCCACGGCGCGGTCGCGGCGCGCTTCGTTCAAGGATCAGAGCTCTTCCGACGCAGCCACCGCCGGAGCCACGGCCGCACCGCCGCCCGCCGTGAAAGGGGGTGGGGTCTGGAGGGGTAGGTTTCGCCGATCATCAGGCGACGTAGGAAGAGCGCTGCCACTTGACTGACGCGCGCAGGAAAAACGCCGCGACTGACGGCGCGTTAGGAATGCCATCAACCGTCATTTTAAGCTGTGTTCTGCCGGCGGTGGCGCGAGTTAAATAATGTCGATGGCTAGTTGACAGATTCTCCAAACAGACTTGGTGAAATGAAACTCAGAGAGTAACAACACACTAAGTTTATTACAGAAGCAAAATATACAAAGTAATACAAATTTCTAATGAAAAGTCAAAACGGTAGTGAACAGAATACAATATTTTCTTACAGCTATATAACTTCTGTTTCCAGATAGAGGTTGGAGAGGGGGTAACACTTGGCATTGCCAGTTGGAGCAAGCGCGCTCTGGGTGGCCCTTATCAGGGAAGGGGATGAGCGTCTCAGGCGAGGTCAAAGGGGCAGGCTTCAGGATCGACGCAATATTCCAAGCCCTATCCGGTAACTTATTGGGGTCACAGAAGGCGGGAGGACGCCATGCCATTTATTTTAATTGGAGGCGTAAGCCCTCTCTTGTTCTGGGGTACATGGTGTACTTCGCACCGTCTGTACGTGGGGATATAACACGCGTATGCCCTCCTGCGCTTCGCGTAGCGAGAGCCCGCCGCCGAACGCAGCAGCGGCGCAAACCCGCCGCACGGACGTAAGAAGTCGTCCATTCAAACCAATGCTCTGCTACGATCCGCCGTGTTCGGGAGCGCGCAGCGGTGGCGACGTGAGAAGCAGCCCTAAGGGCCTTCCATAAAGTGATTAAGGCCTGATTTCCGTTTTTTAAGATGACCATTGGGTAATTAATTGACACATTTGGAGAATAAACTCTCCAACCCATGTAGCAATTGTTGCATGTCACTTTTGCCAGGCAACGAGAGATGTGGACACAAAATGGATGTTTTGATGAACTGTAGGGGGGTTGACGATCTCGCAAATGACTTCATGCGCCATACATATCTTGGAATTTTCTTTTCATCAAGCATAAATATGGGGGGATATCAATGTTGGTGAAAATCCTGATGTTTTTGCCGCTAGTGTTGTTGAGAGACGGATGGACAGACGTTTATCCGTCAATACATTTTTCGGTTTCAGTACCCACACAACGTAAATTCTGACTACACAAGGTGCTCAAGGAAGTAATTTACTGCATATAGGAAGAAGATTTATCAACTTTTTCTCTATCAGGGACTGCCAATAAAAGTTTTACGCCATTAAAGGGAAAATTCGCGCGTTTTTTCTGTAGCGTCACAGTAATTCCTCTACAGCGTGTACGGAGTAGCGAGAAAGTATAACAAGCGCTAGTTGTATTTCTTTCCCATCTACTGTTACAATATTGACGGCCGAAATAATAATAGTACGATATTATAATCTATGTTATAAATGAGGAGCTCAGTAGATCAAGGGGGCTATCCCACAAATTTTGTGAAATTGAGTTATAAGCTTTATGCGAATCGTCAAATAATATTTGTTTAGTGTAATATGTTATTTAAATTCATTATGGACTTATGTGCAAGTATACTGTGTTTAAAAGTTTAAACATGTGTTGAGTTACACTGTGATCAAAAGTATCCGAACACGTGCCTGAAAATTACTTACTAGTTCGTGGCGCCCTCCATTGGTAATGCTGGAATTCAATAGGGTGTTAGTCTACCCTTAGCCTTGATGACAGCTTTCTCTCGCAGACATACCTTCAGTCAGATGCTGGAAGGTTTCTTGGGGAATGGCAGCCTATTCTTCTCGGAGTGCTGCACTGAGGAGAGGTATCGATGTAGGTCGGTGAAACCTGGCACGAAGTCGGCGTTTCAAAGCATTAAATGGCGGCATTAAATGCCATGATGATATGGTATTAAGGCGAAATGTACATACACTAGTTCAATTTGTCGCCACCACGTAGCAGAAAACAAGCCAAAATTACTTTACCTATGTCTGAAAAATTGGTCCGATTTTCAATCAGTAAAAGTCATATGATTTGTATTTAATATAAAATTTACACTACGAAGCCTCTTTGAAACTGAAAAATGAGTTTTGGAATTCACAATATTGGTTTTTCATTCTCGTATACGCACGTATACCTGAGTAATGTATGTAGTATAGAGAAAGTTATGTAATGATGCGGAAAATCGATTTTGAGATTTCAACGAAAGGTATGTTCTGATATCGAAAGTTGTTGTCTTTTGTTTTTTCAAACCGTCCGACCGTCTGTCTGCTCATCTATGAGCAACACTAGGGTCGAAACTACAAGTATTCCTAGAATTTAATCGAAAGTGAATATTCACTGGTCGATCTGGCCTTTCTCAAAGATTTACGAGTTCGAAAAATATTGTTTAAAATTTGCAGATACTTTAAATGACGCCCCGAGGACATCTTTTATATTTTCTCCAAAATGGCTCCATTTTTTTTCGAATTTGTTGTAAGAATAGATAGGAATATGCTTTCAAGGTGTCATAGGTCCGATGTTTACTGTTAACTTTGATTTTTTAAACGTTACGAAAGTTTGAATTTTTCCCGGTGTCTCCTGTCAACTACAGTATTGAAGATAGAGATTTTTTCTTCAAATGAAATTTATTTTCCTTAATTAGTTCTTTCATTGACGTAATGCACAATTCTTTGAAAATTTTAGTAGTTTTCATGTAATATTGCGTGAAATATGTGCATCAAAAAAATACTAAAAACAGAATTGCTCAAAAACGGCTCCAATTTTTTTTCGAACTTTTGATAGGGATGTTCTAATTGCCCTGTGTAAGATAACATAAACGCCGTATTTCTTGATTCTTTTTTTATTTGTCAAAACATGCACAATTCTTTTTTACATTTCTTTCACGTTCTTAATATTTACATTACAAGTGACTTGTATTCATAATTGAGTTTGTTTAATTAATGTCTCATAAATAGAAACTGGAAAAATATGTAGTATGAAATGTTTAAATATGTATATAAATGTGTAATGAAAGCAGTAAGAATATGTAAAATAGGATAAAATATGTAATATTAAAATACACAATTATAAAACGAACATTTACATGACACGAAATGACATTCATAAAAAAATATGATATACATTTTAAAAGTATACAAACGTTTTAAAAATAATTTGAAGGGTACATAATTGATCCATGTTTTGTTCCATAGAACTTTCCCGTTAGTTGTAAAACTTTCATCTACTGCTATATTCAGTACGGTCGTTTAGCAGCCAGACTAGACGCAATAGAACCATTCTGTAAGCTGGCGATATCTACGATCAGCAACCTATAACTGCAGTGTGTAGCATTCTGAGCGATGAGTTACATGTCGACAATCGGAGAAGTTTCTCCGAAATTACGGTTAAAGTTCACGAGACGCGGAGTCAGTGATACTTTACGCACCTGAAGGTGAAACTGATCTGTCACTGACGTGGACTTCCCACCACTGAGGTAACTGATGCAGACGAGCAGGACTGTGAGAACATCCTTCCGCGTCTTTATGTAGCGAAACTTATGTCCGTGAAGTTGGCACCACCACCACAACCAAACCCACTGAAGCCATTACCTTTCATTTGTACCTGGCTTTACCCATTTGTACCACAAAAACCTTCGTTTGTACCGATCCCACGTACAAGGTACAGCTCTTTTTATTGTGGTGGTGCCAACTTCACCCTGGCACCGCCATCATCGTAACTATATTTGAAAACATTATAATAGTTTGTACCTGGTGTGTACCGGATAGTTCCACCAGAATTTTCGTTTGTACCAGAAAACTAATGAAGGAACAGCCAATTTAATGAGGCGGCGGGAGGTGAACCGGAACTCTACCACCATTCTCGCCACAGCTACCGTAGAAACCCCCAAAGGGGTCGCCAGTGAATGCAGAATTGTGGACGTGGATCGTAGGGTTCCACATTTGAGCCCTAAGTAGGAATGGGTTCTCATCAATGGCGTAACATTCGGGCTTCCAAGGCCGAGTTTAATACAGGATGGTGCAGGAAAATGGGACATTTTGAATTAACGTTATTTGCAGGAATAAATGCATAAAACTGCCAGTATTCAGTTATGAA